GTGATCGAACTTGGGAGCTAAAGATCTCAAAATCTTCGACACAACAGCTCTTGTTGTTAACGTTTCTCTGCATATCTTGATTTGATTTACTAGTTTTGTAACTCTAGTGAAGAAATCAGATATGCTTTCACTGTCTTCCATCTGAAGCAGTTCATAGGTCCTTTTGTGAGTTTGTAACCTCACTTCTTTCACTTTCTCAGCGCCTCCAAAAGACTTCTCAAGAATTTCCCAAGCTTCTTTTGCAGATTCTGAATCATTAACCTTTTCGAAATTGTCCGGGCTGACACATTGATGAATTATAAATAATGTTTTATAACTCAGCTTCTCAGATTCTATTTATTTCTTCTTTTCTTCTTCTGAAGCGTTTTCTCCAAGCGCTTCGATTCCATCTTTTACAAGGTCCCAAAGACCTTGACACCTGAATAAGACTTTCATCTGCTTGCACCAATTCTCATAATTGTCAACTTTTAGAATTGGTAGGGTTGCTGGATAATTTGCATTCCCATAACTTGTCATCGTGAATTCTTCAATCGTTCTTGATTGACGCTTCCCTTGAATCGAAACAAAGCTCTTGATACCAGATGTTGGAACCTCACCAAAGTCTATGATAAATTTCTACCACAATGACAATTTAATTATGAGACAAACAAAGAAAAGAAGACAAGACAAATACTTCTGCAGAGTTTCTCTCTGCTCACAAACCGTGAAAACTTTCTTATTCACTTTGCAACTGCAAAATACTGTGAATGACTTGCTTGACTTTCTTACAAAAATAGGGATTACTCCCTCTATTTATAATTGAGCTTACACCCTAAGCTCAAAGCCCAAAATATCTTTTTGCTACTAAATCAAATCTAATTTATTCTAGACTTAAATCAAATCTTATTTAAATCTAAAACAAATCAAATTTTTTCAACACATAGTTTCGACACACCGGATTATAATTTAACAACTTTCTACTGGATTTCTTTACCTTCGTAACACCTTTGTATTTAATGAATTTTTTGGAAAATTTGCGTACGTATTCCTTATGTAACAGGAAATTTTGAGTTTCTTGGAGAAAAGAAAAGAGAAAAGCTCATGGTACAAGGGTTTAAAGGTGGCTGTTTCTGTAAGTAGCAACCTCTCTTTAATTGCTAAAAGTCATTTTATTATGTGTACAATGGAAGGAAAACTAACTAGTATGTGTGCTGGTATTAGATGATATATTTGCCTCACAGATGCAGCAACTTCTAGGAAATGCAATACAAGAGACAGACATGCAGGCACCTAGATGCATCATGGAAGTTCGTTCTATGCTATGTTAAGATGCCACTAATCACAAGGAGTCAAGAACCAGTTTTTACTATTAGGCCAATTCATACCCATATAATTAATATGATGATGATTAGAGGATAGATTAGGGGGCTAAAATTGTGATGATAGCAATTAGTTATAGCTTTTTGCATTCTATTAATATAAACTCTTGCCCTTTTGGCAAGAAATGCAATCTCTTAACTAGGACAGTTTATAGTTTGGTTGAGAAGAAAACTGAATCGAACCAAATTATGTCTGCAGTTCTGATAATCAAATTACATTGTCAATAGCTTGGCTAGTATCGAACCGAACTGGTGTTATAGTTTGCTGAACCGATTTTTTAGTTTACAAATTGAACTGAAGTGTATAAAAGAAATCAACTTCTCTTGATAGCATAAACTAGGGGTGTGCAAAAATATGGTTAATTGGATCATATATTCAAATTGAATTCCATAAACTATAAAAAAGTGTAACCATTTAAATGGATAATGAATTAAACCATTTAGTTTAAACAGTTATAATTCAATTTAAAACCCGTTCAGAAGCAATTTATTTTTATAAACTGGTTTAATTATATGTATTAATTTTTTTAAAAAAAAATTATTACAGAAATTAATAAATATAACTTTTTTCAAAAACTAAAAATAAAATATTTCATTTGTTTTGAAAAAAAAATAGAAAATTTAGTTATGAAAACACCAAAAATTATTCGAAAATAAAATATTTTTTGTTCAAAGAAATTTTTTTTAAATCTGAAAAAAAATTTAAATTTTTTTTCTTTATTTTGAATAAAAATCCGAAAATATAAACATAGTTTTGTCCCGAATCTTGTTGAACATCATTGATTGCACAAAAGGATTTTAATTCATGGAAGTAGTATTTTTGGGCTGATGTATTTAGGTACCATGGTTGTTTTTAGGTCGCTTTGATATCATCATCTCTAAGTTCTTAGATAAAATCTCTTTATTTTATGTTTTGAGTATTTAGTTGATGTCATATTGGTCTCATGTTGTGTTGTATTTGGTGACCTACAATGACATTGTTGTTATTAGAACAACTGATATATAGAAAATTAAAGAGAAATGAAAGTAAAATGATAATGATCTATCGTTGTTGTGGTGTTTATCTCTGTAATTATAGAGTAATTATAGTTCACTTTATTTATGTTTAGTGAATTATAGTTACAGCATTACGAGTAATATATAATATTAGAGCTCAATTTACTATTATATCCCTGAAGCCCCCACATCTTCCAATTATCTATCCATAATAATCTTTACAATATGAGCTATACTCAGTAATATTATTCATAATAATCTCCACAATATGAGTCATATTCAACAATCTTCACATTGGAAAATATAAAATTCCTATGAAGATTTTTTGCAAGATGATCATATTTTGCCAATTAGGAGGGCACACCACTTACTTAACACTGAGAAACATGTAACAAATCAAAGCAATACTTGAACTTGTCACTGATGACTGCTTTGGTCAACATATCGGTTGTATTCTCTAAAGTATGAACTTGTTCAAGTAATATCTATTTAGATGCAACTAACTCTCTAATATTATGAAATCTCACATCAATATGCTTGGTCATGACATGATACACCTGACTGTTTTTCAAATAAATGACACTCTAACTATCACAATGCAAACAAACTCCACCTTGCTCAACATTCAATTATTTGACCAATCTCGTAAGCCATTTGACTTCTTTGACACCTTCAACTGTCGCCATGTTCTTTGATTCAATTGTCGACATGACCACTATGGATTGAACATATGGTTTCCAACAAATAGGTTATCCTGCTAAAGTAAAAACATACTATGTTGTAGACCTCTTATCATCCATATCACTAGCATAGTCTGAATAAATATATCCTACAATTGAAAAATCATCATATTTATTGCTAAACATGACACCGTGACCCTTTGTACCCTTCAAGTACCTGAAAAATCCACTTGTTTTCTTTCCAATGACGCTTTTTCGATTTGAACATAAACTTACAAACCTGACTTACAGCTTATACCAGATTTAGTCTAGAGCATAACATATCATACATTAAAAAACCAACAACATTGACATAAGAAATCTTTGATATATACTCAGCTTATGCATTTGTCTTTGGATATTGATCCAATGAAAGCTTAAAGTGATTTGCCAATCGAGTACTAGCTTTGAATTATTCATGTCAAACTTGTCTAACACATTTTCAACATAGCTTTTTTGAGAGTGCCATAACTTTTTAGTGCTTTTACCCCTATGAATTTCCATGCCAAGAATCTTCTTCACAACATCTAAATCTTTCATGTCAAACTTCTTGCTTAACATAATTTTCAGTTCATATACTTCATGTAAATGATTAACATCAACCAACATATCATTAGCATGCAATTACAGAAAATAAAGAGCCATCATCATGGTTCCTAACATAAACACAACTGTCATACTCAAACCTTCTTAAGCCAATCTGAAGCATGCATGAATCATAGCGCTTGCACCATTACCTTGGAGACTGCTTTAATACAAAGATCTCTTTAATTTACAAATTAATCTACCATGCCACTCTCACTGAACCCCTCTGACTGTTCAATGTAAATTTGTTCGTCTAAATTACCGTGAAAAAATATCTTCACATCCATTTACTTTAAATGCATGTCTCTACTGGCTACCAAGGTTAACACGTCCCTAATAGAAGTATGTTTGACGACCAGAGAGAAACTATCATTATAGTCGACCATCTTCTGTTGTGAGTACTTCTTAGCTACAAGACAAGTCTTGAACTTTTTCCATTCTTTTTTGTTATTGTTAGTTTTCTCTTGAACACTTACTTACAATTGACGACCCTTTTTTCCTTTAGAAAGTTGAACAAACTCCCGTGTGTGATTTTTCTCCACCATTACACCCATCTACTTATCTTTTTTCATGCTAGCTATAACATCTAGAAAGGTGGAAGGTCTCTCGTACTATTAAGAAATACATAAGTTGTCAAGTCTTCATACTCGTATCTTTTTAGCAGTTTGGTTGAATTATGATCTCTATCACGTAAAATAATATAATCATGTACTCCGCCTAAAAATTAAAATCCATGGTCAATTTCAGTATTAACACCTGATTCCTCATGTGGTTCATGCACTACCTACATATTGTCTACTAGTGACAGATCAACATTCACCTAAATCACCTGTTTGTTGGAAGTTTATCCTTTAGATGCTGACACATAAGTAAACTTTTCAATGTTACAAATATAACCTTCTCACATCAGTTGTGTATGTGCTCGAGTACATGGATTTTTTTCAAACGATAGGTATGGGAACGAATACTATAATAATCTACTCATGACCTACCTATTGCCATCCTTAAAATCAGACAACTCTTTTTAATCCTTAAAAATAGTGAATTTTTTGCCTAACTCAATAAGTTATTCTACTAACCATAAAGATGAATTTTTCAAGTGTTTTATAGAAATGAGATGCAAATAATGATAAATGGAGATGCAAAAAAGTGATAAATCAGCACAAAGTCTAACATGCACCAAAGAGGCTGAACTACATAGGCCCAATTAATTAGCTTAATACGAAAATCAATTAGACAAATTTGGGGTATGACACCTTAAAAAGACCAAACCAATACAATTTGTTTTGCCACTAACTAACAGCCTTCTGCTTTTTATGGAATGGGAGCAGTTCACTTCTCACTAGTCACTCCAGTCCCTTGAATTGGCGCTTTGTTCATTGAAATTAAGGCAACCTGCATAAGACAAACACAGATAGGTAACTATAAGTTCAGCTACCTACATAAGCAATCAAGCTAAAGCTAAAAGATCAATTTCTAAAATCAAGCAAGCAATTTCAACTACCCACAATAAAACATCATTTTAGAAAAAGGTTGTGTAATGAATTGAAGATGTTTTGAGTTTCCTTAAAAGAAACCATTCTCTGGAATACATCAGTGCTATTCACGAATACAACTAAAATCTAAAACATTTCCATCTGTGATTAATGACTAATTCAAGAATGTTGAAATGTCTCTCTAGTTTAATTATTTTATTCAAGCCTAATTCAGGGGAGTTGCAACGACAAAGCAGACACATTATGGGGGGGAACAACATCAACGAGGCTGGAGTGTAACCGTGTAAGGCTGTTGAGAAGAAGGCGAGGGTTGGGTCATTTACCATGGGAGAAGCACAAGGGAGCTACAGTATGTTTGGGAGGGAGAAACAGCGGTAGGCGGTGTTAGGTGAATTGTCAGTGAGTTTCACTGTTAGCGAATGTTACACGTGTTGTCTCTTTTTTTATCCAAAAGTTAAAATTGGTTTCAAAAATGAAACTTAACAATTTATTTTTCTTTAGGAAAGAGAGACTGTGGACCTTCTTTTATAAATTACCCGGATACCAATTCATCTAATTTGATCATTCAACTCTAAAATCATCCACACCCATATACTACGGTTTCATTTTACTTGGCTTGTTTACAAATGCTATATTAGATGGATATTTACAGATACCCAAACACCTCTTGAATATATACGATACAACTTATTTTATTTAACTGTGAACAATAATTCCCAGAAACTGTCATTGCTTGAAAGTAGAGACACATACATTGAAAAAAACTTATGAAATCTTAAAATGCATGAACAAGATGAATGAATCAAGTTTAGTTCATTGCTCCACTTGTAACTAACTAGACCATATTTCTAAGATTCATATGAACTGTAGTGACTGCCAAATGAATTATCACTGACACTGAGAATACATACCTAAGCCAATGGCATCAGAACCCTTCACGATTTTCAGCCTTCTGCAAGTATCAATGAACATCCTGCGCATAGAAAAGATGGATTGCAATTTAGTGAAGGAGATGCATACCAGATGATAGAAAATCTCATTATGTCATTCATTCAGTCTGTTACTTGGTTCGAACAGAGACCAGAATTTGCATCAACATTAAATGCCTACATAAATTAGCCCGTAAATTAGACTTAAAATCTTGTTCAGCAACAAGATTATGGCCATGATCTGATAGAAACCATGATAGAAACCAATAACAGAACTTTCATTTTCAGTTATAACTGAATTTGGATTTATGAAAAGTTAGTTACAAAGAGAGATCACAGTTTGCTTATATAGGTGCAAACTGTGTGACCTGTAATAGCAGGTCTACATTAGGTAAGCTGACAGCTGCCGGTTATAACAAAGGCTTCCAAAGAGAATTATTCTACACAATGAGTGTTACTCTAATATGATCAAATTCTTTATTTTGATATTATTGAATAGTCTATAGAATACATAAAATTTTAACAATTCGATCGGAACTTGAATTTCTATAAAAAAAAATGGAAATTAACCCCTCTCTCTTAATTATATGAATAAAATATGTTACCTTTTATCATAATACTTTGAATAGAACCGAGTAAGGTTGGTGCTTACCCTTGTCAGGAATCACTAATAGTAATAAAACAAGAATTCATGGATTTCTGGTAGTAGTTGAAAAATAAAAATAGTATCAGTACCAATGATGTTTGGCATGAAAAAAAGCTATCATTAATCACAAGGTACAGTTGTCAAGAAAGAAACACAAGCAATTAGTTTGTTAAAGTACAAATATATTTTGGATCAACAAGTAAACTTGAGAGACTCAAACCAACAATATATATAGAAATGTATATGATAGAGTTGGTTTGAATTTGCAACTTGATTTAGGTAGAAAATAACTAAAACCAGAAATATGGATCGATCTTGAGAATTATGAAGCAGACTATCATATATCTTAAAGGAGGACTCACTCTATATACATCACCATAATCCCCTGGTGTCTAGGCTCTGGACTCAACAATTCCTAAAACTTGTGATCAATATAACCTACAATAATTTTGAAATTTTGAAATTTATCGACTCTAGGCAAATGGAAATATATTCAGTGTTTTACTGCCAAATGATGATTACTTACTTTCTTTAGACTATGCAATTGCTAAACCAAATATAGTTACTATTACTTGAAAAAGTATAATGAGAAGAAAAAAAAGATGCAAAAAACACAGAATTTCAAAACAACTTACTCCCATGATACATCCCTACAAGCATCCAGTCTCCACCATTATATTCATACGGGAGAACATACTCTGAACCATGCAAAAGGTCCCTCAGCTTGCACTCATCAACAATTCTCTTCCTAGAGCTCCATGGGAACCACACTGACCTGAAACTGCACAATTACCAAAGATTTCAGAATATAAATAATGCAACAACCAAGTTAGTTTAATAAAAATCATTGGCAAAAACATTTTTTGTAAAAGTAAATCAAAAAAGAAATGGCTCACCTAGGGTAAAACAGCTGAATATCTTCTCAAGGTCAGAAGATAGTTCCTGATATGTTGTAAGAGTTCTTAGATCTACCTTCCTAAAATAGGGAGGGAGAAAATACATCTAAACACACTCGAATTTGTCATTTCACAAAGAGAACTTCATGAGAACATCATTAGTCAACATTGCTAAGCAAATACAGTGAAAAAGGTATTTATCCAGTAAGACCAAGCAAAAATCATCAAAATATATAGCAGTTGGCCTGGTTTATCAGTAAATTACCAAACACCTTGTAGCATAATGATAACATTCTCCCTTTGAATGATGATTACTGCGATCAAATCACCGGATTAATGTATCAGAATCAGAGTGTCGTTCTTTTGTTAGCTTAACATTGTTCCAATAATCAATGCACACCCCCAATGTTCAAAACAGCAGGTGCCATGTAATCAACGCATTAATCTGGCCAACCGGATTTTCCACTTCACTTTCCTGGCTTCATTGACAAAACCTGCGGTGCAGAGACCATTAATAACAGCTCTTTGAGTAGCTCTTAAGATCTGAAAACCAGATTTCAAACAAGCAACCAAAAGTTTGGAAGCAAAAAGGAACTTCTTTGCCCTGCAAAGGTTGTGCACCAAAATAGTATAAGTGAAAGAATCTTTAACCTCCATACTATCAAAAACCTTCACTGCTTGATCAATATGACCAGCTTTACCCAAACAATCAAGCATGCAGTTAAACGCCACCAAATTAAAACCAAAACCCAATGACTTCATATAATCCAAATGCTTCTCAGCACCCGCAAAATTGCCAATCTTACACAATCCATGTATTATAATCGTGTGTGTGTACTGATCACATTTCAGTCCTTGTTTCTCTATCTCATCAACCAACTTCAACGCCTCCTCGAACTTTCCTTGCCTACAGAAAAGGTTTATCATCGTATTATACGAAGCAAGATCCGGCAGCAAACCATTACTCGTCATCTTCCCAGCAATCTCATCCGCTTCCTCAATCCTCCCGGTCTTCACCAACGCAGCAACCACCGTACAATAAGCATACCCATCAAACGTATAACCTTTCCTCCTCATCTCGGACAATATCTCCAACCCTTGCTCCAACCTCCCGCACCTAAAACAACACTTCATAACCGTGGTATAAGTAATCGCATTCGGCTCATAACCATAATCACAAAACTCACTTAACACCCTCCTCGCATCTGCCAACCTCCTATTCTTACACAACCCATTAATCATCGCGTTATAAGTCAACACATGAGGAACAAATCCACGACGCTGCAAGTTCCTAAACAACATAAGCGCATTATGAACATACCCGTTTTTGCACAACCCGTTAATCATAACATTATAAGTCGCCATAGAAGGATACATTTCAGCACGCTCGACTATATCCTTGAAAATCTTATACCCTTCATCAGGTCTACCAAGCTTAAACAAACAATGCATTAATATATTATAACTCCATAGATCCGGGTTAATTCCTGATTGAAGCATTTCATCGAACAGTTGGAGGGATTTTGATAACAAACATTTTCTAACAGCAGCTGATATCAATGAGTTATAGGAAACAACATCAGGGCTAATTCCTGCTTCTTTCATTCTGTTGAGAATGGTGTAACCTGCATCGATGCTGACGAAACGACAATACGCGTCGAGTAATGTGTTGTATGTGACAGTGTCTGGGAGTACTCCTAGTTTGATGGCGTCGATTAAAACGACTTCGGCTTTAGGTAGTTTGTTTGATTTGCACATTGAGGATATGCAGATGTTCATGAATTTTGTTGATAATCGAGTAACCATGATTTGTAATGATTGAGTGAAGAAACAAGAGTTGGGAAGAAAAGGTGAGTGATACGAGATTGAAAATTGAGTGGACTATTTGGGTGACGGAAAGAGGCATTTAGGCATTTGGGTTAAACTGAAACGAGTTGTTGAAGGTTAGTGAAGACAAGTGTTGGTGTGTAGCGGAGAGTGGAATTGAATACGGGTCTGGCCGGGCGGTCCAACCGTTAGCGGGATTGTTATCAAACCGGAAATTGGGATGAAATGTGGTCGTGGGAGAAGAAGGTTTGGGAATGGCAGACGGGAGAAGAAGATCGAGAGATACTTTCAGAGGTTCCCAAAACCCTCTTTTTTTTTATGGACCAATTATGTAGCAATGTGTATATATGTGAGATTAGAATTTGAAATTCATAAATTTGTTCAAGGCACACTAATTGATTTTCTTTCTATAATTCATTTTAGTGTAGTTTTTATCTTTATAATTGATTTTGCATAATTTTTATATTGAAATTTATTGTTTAACTCACTTTTATATAAATATATTTAAATACACAATTTAATCCAAACACACCCTAACTCAATACACAATTTAATCACTCTATCAACACTTTTTTTTCAAATGTAATCTAACTCTAAAATCTTGTTATTTTTCTTGATTTTCATTTTTTTTTATGCAAACACAACTTCATCAAAAACTAACAATAGGCAAAGAAATAGAATAAGTGTCTAATTTAGGGATACAAATCCATCTAGGTACGACTACCAACAGATTTGTTAATCTCAATCAAAAGGTGGGCATCAGCATTATAGCACCTTCTAATAAACACTACAGAAACAAAAGAAAATAGAGTAAATAACTCAATACAATCTAAAACAATAGGTTCCAGCACCGCGACAAAAGAGATATGATTGATACAGTCCATAATCCCCAAAGTGTCTGATTGAACAATAATATCATGGAGGTTCATTTGCTTCGCAAGTTGAAGACCCTCATCTAATAGCCATTTCTTCGACAACTCTCGGTTCCACCATACTTTGCAATTTTTTACTCGCAGACACTAAGACCTTGTTTGTCGAATCCTTAATCACACAGCCCATCACAACAATATCATCATTAAAACATCCAGCATAAACTTGAAGTACACATGAATTCCTATGTCCCTGATTTTCCGCCTCAACACTAAACTTTCTCAGAATTTGCGGGTTTTCTATATTGAATTCAGCAACATGGTTCAACATTCCATTTATGACTTCTCCAGGCAGCTTATTCTTACCTTTAAACACGGATATTGCGGCATTTCCAAATATTCCACGGCAAAGTACAAAACAATTGAACCCCATAAGGATACTTCCAACACAAATAATTTTCCAACCACAAGAGAGGGTCAAAATTAAGTTGGATTCCAAGGCCCAAAGGGGAAGAAAACCAAACCTCCATAGCAAAAGTACAATTCATAAATAGATGTTCCAACGTCTTCGAGTGTTTGAAACAGAACGGGCACCCACGGTAAAAAGAAATACCTTTCTTATCCAGATTGGTGTGGATGGGAAGAATATTATATTCAAATCTCCATATAAAGTTTCGGATGGGAGTATGAATGAGAGCCTTCCAAAGCACTTTCCACAAAGAAGCAAGTTTAGGACTCGAAGGTCCATCCTTCTTAGCTTCCTTCAAATCCCCCAGCAGGTGGTAAGCGGACCTAACAGAATACTCACTGTATGTGTTAATTTTGGAATAAACTCATAGTTTTCATTATGATTTGGAATGTACAAAACAGCATTATATATACGGTTAAAGTAACAAACTGTTTAGTAACAAACTAAACAGAATTGTAACAAACTATAACAAACTAAAACTAACTGTTTAATAATAAACTAAACAGTATTATTTTCATCATGTAATAGCCCCCCACAAGCTGGACTATGGATGTCTAATAGACCAAGCTTGGAAACAAGAGAATCGAAAGAGGGAGTTGTCAAAGGCTTGGTGAGAACATCTGCCAGTTGAGCAGCAGAAGAAACTGGTAAAAGATGGATGAGACCAGTTTGGATTTTCTCACGAATGACGTGGCAGTCAATTTCGATATGTTTTGTCCGTTCATGAAATGTGGGGTTGTGAGCAAGGTAGATAGCACTTTTGTTGTCACAATAGACTGAGCTAGGTTGATCGAAGGAGATGTGGAGATCCTTGAACAAATACTGCAACCATTGCAATTCACAAGTCAAGCTTGCCAAGGCCCTGTATTCTGCTTCTGAACTGGATTTGGATACTGTAGACTACTTTTTGGATTTCCAGGATATGAGGGAATTGCCAAGGAACACACAATATCCAGTTACGGATCTGCGGGTAGCAGGGCAACTTGCCCAATCTGAGTCTGCGAAGCCAGAGAGTTTGAGTGGGGAGGAAGATGAATAGAACAAACCCTTGGCAGGAGCACCTTTGAGATACTTGAGTACTCAAATGGCTGCAGAATGATGAACTTGCATAGGATGTGAGATGAATTGGCTCAGCTGTTGAACGATGAATGCAAGGTCAGGTCTGGTGATAGTCAGATATAGAAGTTTTCCAACAAGCCTTCGATAAGCTGTGACGTCTTCGAAAGGTGGTGAGTTATCATCATGAAGCTTCAAGGAGGAATCGAAGGGAGTAGAGCAAGGTTTAGTAGCTAATAAGCCACTGTCTTCGAGCAATTCCAAAGCGTACTTTCTCTGATTGAGAAAAATGCCATGAGTGGATCTGGCGAGTTCTAGAACAAGGAAATATTTTAGCCTACCAAGGTCCTTGATTTTGAACGTGGAATCAAGGAAGCATTTGACATATTTGATTTCCTGCAAATCATTACCGGCTAAGACAATATCATCAACATAGACTAATAAAACAGTAAAAGAAGAGTCATGTGATTTTGTGAAAAAAGAATGATCAACAGAAGAATATGAGTAGCCAAGGGAGATAAGGGCAGTGGACAATTTCGAAAACCACTGTCTGCTAGCCTGCTTCAGGCCATATAGTGACTTATGCAATTTGCAAACTTTGTTGGTCGAAGAAGTGCCAACTTCGTTGGTCGAAGAAGTGTTAACTTCGTTGGTCGAAGAGGTGCAAACTTCGTTGGTCGAAGGAGTGCAAGCTTTGTTGGTCGAAGGAGTGCAGACTTTGTTGGTCGAAGGAATGAAAACTTTGTTGGTCGAAGAAGTGCAGACTTTGTTGCTCGAAGTGAAAACTTTGTTGGTCGAAGAATTGCAGACTTCGTTGGTCGAAGAAGCAGGAAGCATGAATCCAGGACGCAGATCCATATACACTTCCTCATGTAGATCACCATGAAGGAAGGCATTATTGACGTCAAGTTGTTCCAAGTGCCAATTCTTAATGGCAGCCACAGAGAGGAGGGTTCGAATAGAAGTAAGCTTCGCAACGGGTGAGAAAGTGTCAAAATAATCTACCCTATCCAGCTGAGTATATCCTTTCGCTACTAAACGTGCCTTGTATCGTTCGATGG